CTTCGCTCCAATTCAACGCGTGCCGGCTGCGCAGGCGGGCCCACAGCCGAACTAGGTGAGGCAGCAATCCCAAGATGCGATCACCTCCTCTAGGTTTCGGCAAAAGAAATGCAAGGACCATGAATATTTGCGGCGGCCACAAACAACGAGATTCAACAGCATGACGTAAACCGGTCAGCTCAGCTTTGGCTGGCTCAGGCAGCCGCTGCATCTCGATGGGGCCCAAGAATCCACTCCTTTGGCTTTCTTGGCGTTGGACCGCGACAGAACAGCTTCCAAAGCCTCAATAGTGATGTCCTCCAGTGGATCAGCACGAGCCCTACTCCTTAAGTACATGAAACCTGCCCGAACTTTGTCAAGATCGGCCTTGGGATCACTCCAGGTGTCACTCCATTCATCAGCCCGCAAGTCAATCATGTTGTTGGGCGTGGCGTAGATATCATTGCCTCGTATGAGCTCCGCAGGCTTCACCTTCAGGTCTCCCTTCACATGACGGTGCAACACTCCAGGGGAAGACTTCCACATTTTCAATACCCACGACTGATACCCTCTACGCGCCTTGGAGAGTGCTTGGCCGACAGCTCTGGATCGATACTTGTCGGCGGCTTCCATGAGCGACTGGAGCTCAAGGTCGCCAGCCTCAGTGATGTTGGAAACAGCGCCAAACCAACCAGCCCAATCACAATCAGGATCCTTGTCAAAAGGAAAGTCAATGACAGAAGCGGACTCAAGCAGCTCGTCAAGCTTGCAGACACACGACTCCAACTCCTGGACCTTCCCAGCTCTGCGGAGCAGCACGTACCTGTGGATAAGCGCAGTACAAAGCCCCCACCATTCCAAGTGCTGGTCTCGAAGATGCGCACGCCCAGGAGTCGATCGCGACTGAGACCAACTGAAATCATATCCGTTCGCTCTCCCACAGAACTTCGAACGATCTTCCGCATGGACATCGTGGTGCAGCATCGTGGCGTTCTCAACAGCCTGAATCAACTCACCATACATAACAGAGAGCGTATCACGAGCCACAGGGTCAGCATCTTGCACCACGTGAGGACGACGCACGGGCCGCCCTTCGTAAGGCTGGGCACGAACTTCCCGCCACAGATCCAACGGGATGGCGAAAGGCGTCGAGTCGATGGGGTGAACTTCCTCCTCAGGGTGAAGCTCGTCGAAGGCATCTTGAAGGGCCTCCGATAGCTGCTCACGTCGCTTCTGTTTAGTCTCAATAATCTTCTTCTGCCTCTTACTGTCGGGGTCTGGCTGCCGACGAGGTCTGGAAACAGTGGGCAGCGGTCTGGCGATCGACAACGCGCGAATCCGCCAACTGACCTTACCCGCCTTCAACGAAATGAAGAGACCTGCATGCGTCTTCTATGGAACGTGCGGCACAATGTTGACACGAAGCGCATCCGCAACTTTGGTGGACGCAATCACGTAGTCGATCAGGGTGCCAGAACCTCTGTTGCACGTGACCTGCCCGTCAACGGGTACCTTCAGCTGCCCACCGAGCTTCGCAATCCAATCCGTGGAGTCCCACTCAGCAGGGGTAACATTCTGGTCGCCAACAAGAATCCAAGGATCTCTGATCAATTTCAGAAAACCGGCCAACCGTACTAAAGTCTTCTCATTATCTCCTCTCAGCTTGTGCCCAGGGAGAAGGTAACACGCCACCACCACAAGATTGCCGGTTCTAGTGTGCCACAAACCAGGACAAAAGCCTCGACATGGGTCTTCTACTCTGGAAGTAGCGCCAGCTGCACGCCAGTGCTCGAAGCTGGTGATCGAAGTCGTCTTACGAGTAACCAACCATTCTCCACCAGATGTGCCAAGCGCCGACCTGCCTGTCGGGATAGAAGGTGTAGCAAGAACTCCCCAACCATCTTTACTCATATCCGCAATGGCACGAGATAAACGATCGATCACCCCCCATGTGCGTCTCAACAATGCCCAGGATATCATACTCCTCGGCCTGACCACGAAAGAAACCTTGGGCTACAGGGCCCCACTCAGAGATGTTCGCAAAGAAAATATTACTGTCCGTCTTGATGGTATGCTCGGAGGTCCTCACCGCAATCGAAATCGGCGAGGTCGAGGTACCATTTGCAACACCATTCACCAGAGCAGCCGCAGCCGTAGTGCATGATGTAGGGTTCCCCAGGGATAAGGCACCCTGGGAGGCCGAGGATATAGAGGTCGTACTGGTACAGGTAGTGCGCACTTGCCAGGTCGGCTGCCGATCAGGAGCGAGACCTCGCAGCAGCGGCCCCACTATAAGCAGCAAGCCGAGGACCGAGGCCAGCAGCAGCCTTGCTCTCGACCTTGATCCTTGCCTGGGCCAGCGCAGACTTGACTTGCTCTTTGACTGCCGCCTCCTCCACAGTGGGCTCGGCCTGCTCAGCGGCCGGTGGGGGGGCAGCGGTCGGAGAGGCAGCATCATCGGCGTCCGACTGCGCCCCTGTGCTAACGGCTGCGGCACCCTCTTCGTCGAGCCTGGAGCGCTTGGACGGTGAAGCCCTGATCTCCTTGGCCTTCGCCGCCGCCTCCAGGACCGTCGCCTGCAACTTGGCAACCTCCTCAACCTTGGTCTTGATGTCAGCCTCGATATGTGCGAGCTGCGCCTGCGCCTCGCCGTCGATGTCCGTAAGGTCCATAAAGAGGGACTCGTCGAAGGCAAAGAGGATGCGCTTGCCGTCGGTGGTGTACCCTTCTTTCTGCGTGGAAACTTCGGCTTGCTGCGCAAGCCTCTTGACAGCAGACTTGTGCTTGGACTCTGCCTCCAGGAACAGCTGAGAAGCGATGGCGACGTCGGCACTGGCGCGCTCCAGAGCTTGCTGAAGCTCCGTGGCTCGCTCCGCTGCCGACTCCATAGCTGCACGCTTCTGCTCCATCGTGCGGTAGAGCTGCTGGACTTCACCGTGCGGTTCCTTCGGCTTGACCAGACTCGTCTGGTACTGAGAATTCTGAGACTGCAACTTCTCGATGGCCGTGGGGTCGGACTTGAAGGCGGGGCAAGGACGTGTCGAGAGCTTGCCCAGGTCGTCCATGACGTGGCCCATCGCGCCATGGCGGCCCGTCGCCCTGACCACCACTCTTGGACTTGGGAACGTCGATGGGCGACCAACAGACACCGCACATGCCTCCATTCTTCTTGATGCGAAAGTCGAACGCCCAATTCCCACACGATGCGCAGACCGAATACGGGCTCCTGCGACCCGCTGGCGTCGGTCCGTGCTGACAGACTCTGGACGGCAGCGCACAGCTCCCCGTACAGGTCTCGAGAGAAAGCGTCGGGCTGAACAGCCCTGGCACTGCCGCGGACTAGCGGTATCCACTTGTTCCCCTGAGGAACTCAGCATCTTGAGCCAAAATGGCTACGGAGGGGGAGGAGGAGGAGGAGGAGGAGGAGGAGGAGGAGGCGGAGGAGGAGGAGAAGGAGGAGGAGGAGGAGGAAGAGGGAGTGGAGCAGGAGGAGGAGGGAGGAGGAGGAGGAGGAGGAGGAGGAAGAGGAGGCCCTCCTGAGGAGAGGGGGGGGGCGAACACCCGTGGCGTACTGCGCCTCCCTCTCCAACAGGTCTCTCCGCTTGAGCCCCCCACGCAGTCCTGAGGCGACAGGGAGGGCTCCGGGGAGGAGAAGCGCGAGGGGAAGGGGGTCGAGGAGATCGACGCGGCGGGCGCGGAGAGAAAGAAAGCGACGGAGAAGAAGGAGGAACGGAAAAGGACGAGGAGGAAGAAGAGAGGGAAGGGACAGAGAACGAACGAAACGAAAGCAGGGGGGGAGAAAACTAAGACGAGTGGATTGCGAAACGCGAAAAACGGAAGGGCACGGAACGCAGTGACTCGTTAGCTGCTGGGCGTCTGCAGCGAGGAGGGCCTCGCGAGAAGAGCCCGCCCTGCCCTGCTCCACGGCGACCCCGACAGGGGCGGCCCGATGGCCAGGCCAGGGTGCACCACGCAACCCCGGGCACGGGCGCGTCCGTTCCGACTGCGGAGGGGCTCCTGCAGGCATGCTGGCCGATGGAGGACGAGGACGGGGCGGGGAGGGATGCCCAGGACCAGGGCGAAGGCGAGGACGAGGAGAGGGCTGATGAGCACGAGCACGAGGACGAAGACGATGGGAACGAGCACGAGGATGCGGAGGCACATGGAGAAGGGGAGCGCGAGCGGAGAATCGAAGTGATGGATGGAGGGAGACATTATCCTACCTGAATGTGCCCGGCTGAGCCTAGCAGTCGATTTTATCCTCACGCAGCCACGATGGGAAATCGCCCATCAGGGTGGTAGCAACGATGAACAGAATTCAAGATTCATCGTGAGCCCCTTGAATTGAAGCATCCTCGCTCTCTTCCTCCCGAGAACGAGGAAGGGGATAGGGCACGCATCGAAAGGGACCAGTGTCATCGAAATGGCGGCTCACGCTGAATCTGAAATAGCGATCTAGGGAAACACTACACCGGCATGTCGGGAGGAGAGCACGTACACCTGCCTCACCCCCTTGAAGGATGGGGGAGTATGGGGGGATGTGGAAGAAGCCGAAGGCAAGGGTGAGGGAAGGCAGAAGGAAAGCGAGGGAGTAAGGAGAGAGGGCGGCTGGAGGAGGGGATGGCGGGGCAGGCGTATCCTGCTTTCCTCCCCAGGTGTAAGTGCTCCTCACTGTGCCCGAGTCGCGGCCACTGCGGCATAGGCAGCGCGCGCCTCACAATCAACCAGTTGCCAGCAGCCATGCGTGCTTTCTGGAGCCGAGCTTGGTGTACATGTATGTTCAAGCTCAAGGGAAGGAAGAAATGGACCAGAAAACAAACGGCACCACCGCACCTACGGCCCCACGGGACGTATCGTATACCAGGACGTCCGGCGTGGGTTTTTGCATGGTATACCCTACGGCCCCCGATGGGCCGTAGCGCAACATGGAAGGCCGTAGGTCGGGTGGTGTCGTTTGTTTCTTGGCCGGAAAAGGGAAGAGGAGAGGGACAGGGAAGGGGGGAGGATGACGAGGTGTGAGTGACGGAGGGGGGCGGAGGAGGAGCGCGGGCGACGTGCGCCTTCAGAGAGCAGATGGCATATTTTCAAATGCCTTGCCACTGTCTTGCGGCTCCAGCTGCACGTGTCCTGCGGCAGAGACATAACCAAGTATCACCGAACGAATCCGGTGTGAAAAGCGTATACTGTTAAGCGTAAACAGTGAATTCGAAGTGCGCAACGGGTGGACCGTGCACCACGCTCCTACGGCGGAAGGCTGGCAAATGCACTCCTGTCACGGCAGTCCGAAAGTTTTTCAGTGAGAGTCGATACTTCTTTAAGCTGGTGGGCAAGACGATAATGGGGAGGAGTGAAGAGACGGGAGAAGGGAAGAGGCAAAAGGAGGGAGGTACAGTCAGCCCGTATCAGAAAGAAGGACGAATCATGGCCTTGGAGGGCCAGGTCGGCACTTCGCGAGCGGGGCGCGGCCAGCGAAAGCGGCCAAGGATGGGCCGAAGGGGAAGGATGCAAGGGTAACCTTGGAAAGTTGCGCGTCCTTGCTAAGCGGGTTGACCCTGGGAGCCGGAGGGAAGGGGCGGCAGGGAGGAGGGAGGACGGGGGCGAAAGGGGCGGGCGACGACGAGGGGGTGGGGGGGGGGGCGGAGGATCGGCAGCGGGGAGAGGCGGAGGTGGGGGGGGAAGGGGAAGGAGGGCCGAGGGCACGAGGTGGAGCAGGGCTCGAGCCAAGCAGGTGTCTTTCGGCGTCGTGCTGCTCTCGTGCTCCCTAGTTGCGTCGTTGCGTCTTCGCTCCGCGTTGCTGCGGAGCGAACTCAGAACGAAAACGCGCCACGAGATCGCCGAAACATCGTCTCGCTCGAGGCACGGGAGCGGGGGGAGGGCCGAGGGCACGAGGTAGAGGAGGGAAGGGGGGCGAGCGGGCGAGCGAGAGGGAGAGGGGAGCGACAAGCAACAGAAGTGCCCATTTGGGAGGGGACCTAAGTCAGGAGAGCCAGAAGCATTAGGGGTAGAAGGTCTTCTCTGCAGACGCATCGGTCGAGGCCACCCATATGTCAAGTTTAGCGATGCCCCTAAAAAGCGGAGACAGAAGTTAGGTCACGGAGTCACTGTGTCGTTGGTCGCAGGGGCTGTATTATGCTCGATGAGGAGGCGGGGAGGAAAGGGGGATCAGGAAAAGAGAGAACAAGGAACACCTCAAGGAGCAAATACTCGACGGAATTGGAACAGTGAGGAGGAGGAGGAGGAGGAGGAGGAGGAGAAGGGGGATCATTAGGACAAAATAAAACCAGAATTCATGAAGGATGCTGCACCACATCATCCCGCCCCAAGCCTCCGCCTCGTGAGTCCGTGCAGAGATTCCTTGTCCACCGCGGGAGGCGCCCCCTTCGACACGAGCGCCCTGGCAGGCCTGCAGCGCTGGCGAGGCCCCGTGCTGGAAAAGATCTGCCACCTGTCCTGCGATTGCGTAGATGATGACGTTCAAACAAGCGTCCAGCGACAGCGCCGCTTTGCATAGGACCTGTCCGGCATTCGTGAACAGCGCTGCATGATGTCAAAGCTGTGGTGGCAATGTCAGCGTTAGCGGAAGTCTCCGGCGAGAGCTCCATTTGACAAGGAGCCGCCACCATCTGTGCAAATGGTCACCATGTGGAACTCTGGGCCATAGCGTACGAGCAAGACTCAACACAGATCCACACTGCAAGAACGAAGTGGCCCCCATCATGATTTGGCAGCGCGCACAAGGAGGTGGAGGGAGGGGAAGGGCTTCTTAGAAGGAGGCTGCTTCTTAGAAGGCGCCAGCCTTACATCTGTAGATAAGGCCCACGCCTTTTAAGAAGCAGGGGTGCTTCCAAGAAGCCCTCCCCCCTCCCCCCACCCCCCTCTGCGCGTGGCTGAATTATTACGATGGGAAACGTTGAACACGAATGTGCGCGGCGTTCGGGCGAGAACCGCATTTTGACCCCCCCCTTCGTGCGTGTGACTGGTGGATTTGCTGTACGACTGGTGTGCGCGGCGCTGAAGCGAAAGCCTCATGTTGAAAAAAACTGGCCTCCATCCTTGTGACTGTAGCATGATTACACGGAGGACGAATGCGCGCGACGCTCAGAGAAGAGGGCAGAAAATCCACCCCCATAATCACCACCCCGACACGCGAAGTCGTTTAGCAAACGCGCCCAAAGAAGGAATCAAGCAGGGCAGGGTTGTTTAATAAACGCCCAGGGCCGTTTAGTAAACGCCAATTGTCCGGTCTGGGTGGTTTTCCTCCCTTGACAGAGGGAGCAGCAGGTGAGAATCCACAGGCCCTCCACCCGTGTAGCTATTGGAAACGTTTGAAACGATTGGTCGCGGCGCTGAGGCGGGAGCCGCATTTCGGAAACGGATGGCCCTCCATCTATGTAGCCGTCAGTCTTCAGCGCAGCGCCCGGCCCGGCCGACGAACACGTCTGGTGGTGCGACAGGGGGGTGCTTTTCATACAGGAAAAAGGATTGAGGAGAGGTAGGAGAAACCAGATGGAGATACGCACAGTGGAGTCCAGTCCACAGGAAACCTTCCACGGGAAACCCAGCACTGGGACCCCAGGGCGTCCCCTGATTTTGGGCGTGGGAGCGTCACGCCTTCCACGGCAGAACCGTCGAAACCCAAAAACGCAGGGCACCCTGGAGGCAAACAGAGTGTTTCTTGGCATGTTGAGCAGGGACCGACCGTCCCAGCATTCCTATAGGCCTACCACGAACTCTTCCAAGAATCCCAAACATGCTCTCAGAACAAAACCAATGCTCTTAGAACATAAGCCCGATGTGTTAAAACAAGACAGTCCCAGCCAGAAATGCTCTGAGAACCTCTCGTGCAAACCACAAGAGGCTCTTAGAACATTCCTTGGTGGGCCTACAGGCGAAGCAAAACGCTTCGCCGCTGCTTGAGCACGGGCCCCCGCCGGATGACATCCGCCGCCGTGCACCCCCCGGCACGCCGAGGCGCGGCAGACTGCTCAGTGCTGCCCGGCATGGCTTCCGCGTCCTCCCCGCGGCCCACGGCGTGCATCCCCGCTGCTCCCGAAGCCACGATCCCTGGAGGGAAGGCAGAAGGAAGCCACGATGGGAAATCGCCCATCAGGGTGGTAGCAACGATGAACAGAATCTAAGACTCATCGTGAGCCCCGCAAACTGCAGCATCCTCGCTCCTGTACTCCTCCCACTCTTCCTCCCGGGAACGACGAAGGGGATAGGGCACGCATCGAAAGGGACCAGTGTCATCGAATGGCGGCTCACGCTGAATCTGAAATAGCGATCTAGGGAAACACTACACCGGCATGTCGGGAGGAGAGCACGTACACCTGCCTCACCCCCTTGAAGGATGGGGGGGTATGGGGGGATGTGGAAGAAGCCGAAGGCAAGGGTGAGGGAAGGCAGAAGGAAGGCGAGGGAGTAAGAAGAGAGGGCGGCTGGAGGAGGGGATGGCGGGGCAGGCGTATCCTGCTTTCCTCCCCAGGTGTAAGTGCTCCTCACTGTGCCCGAGTCGCGGCCACTGCGGCATAGGAAGCGCGCGCCTCACAATCAACCAGTTGCCAGCAGCCATGCGTGCTTTCCGGAGCCGAGCTTGGTGTACATGTATGTTCAAGCTCAAGGGAAGGAAGAAATGGACAAGATCTACTCCGTGGAGGGGGGGGAGGGGGGGGAGAGGATCGGCGCCGATCGGCAAAACAACGAACAAGAAAACGATCACCTTCTGCCTCGTCCCTCTTGCTTCCCTCCTCCCACCTGGCTTCCTCCATCCTAGCCTGGGAGATCCATGATAAACTAGTGGTAAGTCGGGAGTGTCCCGACCTAGAACTGGTGCTTTCGTCGGGCGTCGCGTCGTGTCCGAAAAAAAACACATGAGTCCGAGCCTTGCCACCTGCGTCAAATGTCATTGACATCCCTAAGGGAAAAAAATTGAAAAGGACTGTGCACTGAAATTGAAGGAGGCGCAGAGTACGCGAAAGAGGGCGGCCATCAAGCAGGCGTGGCAATGGCAATGCCATCTCACATCAGCAGGCTCACCAGAGAAGCAGAGAGAGAGAGACAAAGAGAGAGAGAGAGAGAGCACGAGAGAGAGAGAGCAAGAAAGAAAACGACAAAGACCAGGAGAGAAAGAGAGAGGGAGGGAGAGGGAGAGAGAGAGAGAGAGAGAGACCTCAACATGGAAAGAGAGAGAGGGAGAGAGACAGAAAAAAAGAGAGAGAGAGAGAGATCCGCCACCGCGCCTGCGGTGTGTCGTGCGCGTCAGAATGCCAAGCGATGCTGTGGAGGGCTGTCAGCGCTTGACGGGCCCAACTCCCCTCCACGCCGTGGACCACCACCACCGCCACCACCACCACTCGTACCCCCATTCGGGCCCCGTGCGGGCCGCACTCCGGGCACTCGAGCCCCGCGGATGGCCTTGGAGTGGACCGCACTGGCTACCTACCAGACCACCCCAACCGAACACCAATGCCCAAAGTTCGGGCTGGGGGAGTACGGGCTCCGCATGTGTGTTTGTTCAATGGTTGAAGGGGACCTGGGACACAGAAATAGATAGACGCAAATAACCGGATTCCCCATATTTTCACATATTTTCTACGTTTTTGTCTTCCCCCCCACTGCCCATATTTTCCTATATTTTCTGGGGAATCGACGATTAATTGTGTCTGTGTGTTTTTTCCCTCCTGAATGGTCCCCGACGCCCCCCCCACCACACTGGGAATGGAGGGCAAATTGGGGCCCTCAGGGTTGGGCTGGGGTGGCTTGGTGGGTGGTAACTAATAGTTCCGACACCGTGCCCTCAGCTCGCAGTGGAATGCCCCAGGGCTCATACGGCTGTGCTTCGCAGAGGGACTGCCATCTTGCGATCGGCCTGTAGGGTTCTGAGAGGCCTAGCCCCCCAGGGTGCCAAAAACTTGTGTGCGCTCCTGGCCGTGTGCCAAACATTCTTGGGCACTCCTGGAATGCATCGGCGCGCGCCAGGCGAGCTCTAGGGAAGCCAAAAACAAGACCGAGAGTGCCACAAGACGGGCCGAAGGGGCCCAAGAGACTACCAAGACTGTCCGAGACGGCCAAAACAAACCGCCTCCAAGTGGTCCAAGAGACTTCCGAGAGGCCACCCAAGAGATCCCCACAGACATCCAACAAAAGGGCCTCTGACCTACAACCCAGGCGCGTTGGCGGGATGTGCCGAAGGCCATTACAATAGATCCGCCGCCCCCTGTGGTCTTCCCACAAGGGTGCACGACGTGCCAGACGTCTGGCAATTTTTGATTCTTTGCTGACGAGCTCCCCGCGGGACTTCGACCATCCGCCGGCCTTGCGGAGAGCATGGTCTCCCATTGGCCCCATCGCGTCGAAGACGGCCAAGATGGCCTCCAAGACGGCCAAGATGCCTGCAACACGGTCCCAAGACTCCTCCAAGACGACGGCTACGACGGCCCCAAGACGTTTTAAAGTGTCTTCCAGGCGGCCTAAGGAGCCCCTCAGGCGCCCCAGGAGGGCTCCAAGAGGAGCTCCATGATGTCAAATCTGTGACTGTCCTCAGGTAGTTCGGTGAGTTTAGCGTTCTCACCTTTTGGGGCTTCCGACGCTCCAAAATGGGCTCATAGGCCCCCAAGATCTCTCCAAGACGGCCCACAGGACCCCAAAAGGCTCACAAGACGGCCCAAAAGGGCCTTACCCCCAACACGGCACCAAGACGTCCCCAGAGACATCCAAGATGGACCAAAGACTGCCTCCGAAGGCAAAGAGGTCCCTTCGAGGCCCCAAGAGGTCTCTACAAGGTCCCCGAAAGAACCCAAGAGAACCCCAAGAGGCCCCAGGACGCCCCCAAGAGGCCCACTACAGCCCACTGATAGGCTCACAGGTGGCAACCAGAAGGCCTCAGAAGGCTTCAAGATGTTTCGCCTTCTTTCGCCACCTTCTCATCCCTCTCCTCCCCCGTTCTCTTCCTCTCCCCCATGTTCATCGAAAGGTTTCCACAGCGGCTGGGGAGCACATAGTCTGATAGTTTGGCTAAGATCTGGCCACTACATTCGACAACATAGGCGTATCCTGAAAGGCAGGAGGCGGCGATGATTCGCCGTAAGCGTCTTCGATTAATCCCAAACCTGATCAGACAAGAACGGGCAGCGCCGCTGTAGTCCAGTGGGCGCATAAGGCGAAGAAGAAGAAAAGGAAGGCGAGGGCTACGAAGAGGCGATGACGAGGACGACGTGGAGAACGTGAGGATAGCGAAGAGGAGCATGAGGACAACGAGAAGGAAGAGAAGCACAAAAACGAGGACGAAGAGAACGAGGGCGAGCACGAGGAGGAATGCGGAGGACGATGACGACGACGACGACGACGACGACGACGACGACGACGACGGAGGACAGTAAGAGACAATTGAAGAAGGATGTTGAATCAGGAGGGGGTCCTGGTGACCCTATCGGCCGGGGGGCTCCTGGCGCCGCGTTGGGTTGTCTTGGGGCATGTTGGGGGTTTATTAAATGCCTCTTGGGTCATCTTGTGGGCCTTGGTTTGTCTGGGCGCATCGTGGGGGGGTTCTCTGGAAGTTTTCTTGGGCCGTTTCGGCGCCATCTTGGGCCGTGTTGGGGCTTTCTTGGGCCGTTTGGGGCCCTCCTGCGGCGTTCCCGGGAGTCTCTTGGGGCCATCTTGGCCCGTCTTGGGCCGTTTTGGGGTTCTTGTCTCCTGGAACGCTCTTGGGGGTCTCGTGGGGTCCTCTTGGGGCGCTCTTGGGCGCTCCTTGGGGAGGGCGTCTTTGGGGCCTCGTTTGGGCCGTTCGGGAGCCCTCCGCGAGCGATTCTCAGACGACGTCGGAGTCCCCTCCGGGGCGGATTTGTTGAGGAGTTCTCGAGCGAACCGGCCATTTTGAAACCTGACCGGACAAGAACGTGAAGCACTGTTTTTGTCCACCAAGCGTGTCAGAGAACGTATGGTGGAGAACGTCAACGAAACCTAGAAACGCAACACAACAAATTAAGACACATGCTGTCGGTTCATTGCGATGGCCTGCCGCGCTAATCTGCCGTACTGGTCTGTCGAGCTAATATGCCGCCCTGGGCACATGATGGACTTCGCGGGCCGTCTAAGGCTCTTGGGGCTCTCTTGGGCTCTCTGGGGCCCTCTGAAGAACCTTGTGAAAGCCTGTTGGGAGCCCGTTGTGAGCCTTTTGGGAGCCTGTTGGGGGCCTCTGTGACCCTCTTGGACTGTCGGGGCGCGTCTCGAGGGTCTGTGGGGACTCTCTCGGGCTGCCTTGGCGTTCTCTTGGACTGTCTTGGGGCTCTCTTGGGCAGTCCCAGGGCCTCTTCGGGCGCTCTTGGAGGCCTCTGGGCGCCCCTTGGGGGCCTCTTGGGGGTCTCTTGGGGCGCATTGGGGGTCCCCTGGGAGGCCTTCGGGGGCTCTGTTGAGCGGTTTTGAAGCCCTCCGGGAACGATTATAAGATAATGTTGCTTCGGAGTGCGCTCCAGAGCCGATGTTTGCGGATGACTCGAGGCAAACGGCCATTTTCCCAGAATCCGCCAGCGAGATTCGGGGTGCAGCGCGGACCCCATAAGTAGAGAAAAACAGCTTCAGAAAAACGGTCCACGCCATGGGCGCGTTTTGACAACGCAACCCCAACCTATGATGTCTCGCGAGCCCCCACCTATGAGGTCTCGCGAGCCCCCACAAGGCCTGCCGAAAGGGAGGCTTGCGCGCATGTGCGCGCAAGGACGCAACACGCGAGGCACCCACCCACTGGCGGGCAGCATCGCACGTCAGTCTGCGGCCCTCTGACCGTAGGACTGGTGACAAGCTAGAAAACGGCACTGAGCGCGTTTCACACAAAAACAACGGAGAATCACACCGCACCATAAGTGCCCCTATCGCGGCGCGCCCAGGTCATTGCCCAGACGGCACTGCCACGGCAGGCCCCCGGACGTGCATCAGCGAGCCGGGAGGGCCTGCCGCCTTCAGAACACCACGGGGCCAAGAACGAAATAGCGACTTCTGAACCCAACATACAGCATGCCGAGGAAAACGGGACGAGCCACGAACCTCTGATATTGCCCATTGCGCACGTGAGAAAAGCAGACAAGTGTAAATTGAATCAAAGTGACACCGCTACAAACTCCAGCGACGAACCTCCAGCAATGCATCACGCATTGAGAACAAAATAAGCGCACCTACCTGGACCCGTGGCACTGATACAGAGAAAAGCGTGTGACGACAACCGAATATGGGTGGTAGTACGCCCAGGGCGGAGGGAGTAAGGCTTTAACCCTGCGGCACCTCCAATCCCAACCTCCGACCTGGGACGGAGCATGTCGAAGAAGGACAGGAAACCCAGCCACGCCAGTAATGTGTACGGTCGTCGCCACGGCGGAAGACTGCACCACTGTAAGATCGCGCGCTCAAGAAACTTATGAACCAGATCGCTCGAAAACGGTGATCCTCCAGCACCGCTGAGTGCCGCCATTCTGCATAGCTTCGCCACTGCGTCCTGGCCCTCGTAGAGGTCGCCCTTATACCACACTCGCCCTCTGGCGAGGGTGGTGCGGCAGGCTCGGTGGTAACACCACGTGCTGTGCACTGGCTCGTCTCTGTCGGTCATTGTCGGCAACCTCTCGAGACTCCAGGACGGTCGTGCCGCCGTCCAGCGCTCGGCCCTCCAGCGCGTAGTATTCAGCTCAGCGACGGCTCGCGATAGAAGGCAAAAGACGAAACATCGTAACCATGCCATCGCACTTGCATGCTGTGCGGGGGTTTGCGACCCCGCTGGCAAATCTGTGTCGCTCGACATCGCTCGAGCCAGGGCCTTCCATGGGCGCTTCCCGTCATCCGCCAACGCCTGTCCGAAGTGCAGCCCGGAACCCCATATCAAGCTTTCTTTGAGAAATACGGTCCAGGCTCCTCGTACCTCGTAAGCGCTTCCCGTCATCCGCCGACCCCTCGGCGTGTGTGAGACGCTGTCGTCGTCTTCTCCTTCGTCGTCGTCGTCGCCAGTCCTTTACAACTGGAGACAAACTGAGAAAACCAGCGTCGTAGGATAGTCGATTCCCTTCCCTTCTTCCCTCCCGTGCCCAGGGGGGCAACAGGGGGGTAAGCAGAAGGGATGCAAGGGGGAGCAAGGGGAGGTAGGAGGGGGGTGGCCCCAGGTCAGATGACCGCCCGGGCCCCCGCGGGTTTCAGGCGGTGGCCCCCCCTGTGGACAAGGGGGAACACGGACGGGTTCGCCCTGTGGGGGGGAGGGGGGGGGGGCGGCCCTGGTCCCGGCCCCGGCCCCAGCCTCGGCCCCTGCCCCCGCCTCGGACCCAATCGTCCCCCTTGGCCCCGCCCCCGCCCCGGCCCCGGCCCCGGCCCCGGCCCCGGGATCCCAGGGGGGGTGGGCCGGGAGCCCAGGGGAGGTCCCGCCTTCAGGGTCGGCCGCACTGGCCGCTAGGCCTTCACGATCCCACCAGTGGTGCAAGGTTTTTCTCTTCCCCGTATTCCCCTTCTGGAAGGGAATTATCGCTGCGAGCCTGTTTGGCGCCTGCATTGATTCCCGATGATGGTCGATGACAGCCCCTGCCCATGATGAGATTCAAGCGCTACCTGTGTGGTGGTAGGGTGAGTTGACAATGAGAGACGGCCATACTTCGTGGGGATGGTTTGGTCGCCGTTCTATTGCAACCCGACCCGGCGGCAAACCTGGTTGGTACACTGCGCCCCCCCTCGCCGCCCGTGTCAAAAAACGCACTCTGCTGCACAAAATTGAATTACATTCGGGGGGGCCGCGATTACTTTGCATTGTTTGGGCAGGGACGACGGGGGTGCCAGCATGTGGCCTGCTGTGAGCAGGGCCACCACCCCTGTCAAAAAACAGTATCAACTGCACTTCGCGGCGACTTCTGGATTATGCGCGGGAACCAGGAGACCTCCAAGAGATCTCGAGAGACATCCAGAAAATTATCCCGGCAAAGCAACCTAACAGCGATGTGTAGGAGCATAGCTGGAAGCATCCCACTTAAGATTCAGATGAGAATCCTGTTGTAGAATTCTGCTGTTCTCGCAGTCGTAGTCGCATTCGCGATGGCAGTCGCAGTGGCAACGGCAGTCGCAGTCACAGTCTCAGCCTCAGCCTGCCTCAGCCTCAGCCTTAGCCTGCCTCAGCCTCAGCCTGCCTCAGTCTCAGCCTCAGCCTCCTTCAGCCTCAGCATCAGTCTGCCTTCAGCCTCGGCCTCAGCCTCAGCCTGCCGCAGCCTCAGCCTGCATCAGCCTCAGCCTCAGCCTCAGCCTGCCTCAGCATCAGCCTGCCTCAGCCTCAGCCTCAGCCTCAGCCTCAGTCTCAGCCTCAGCCTGCCTCAGCCTCAGCCAGCCTCAGTCTCAGCCTCAGCCTGCTTCAGCCTCAGCATCAGTCTGCCTTCAACCTCGGCCTCAGCCTCAGCCTGCCTCAGCCTCACCCTGCCTCAGCCTCAGCCTCAGCCTCAGCCTGCCTCAGCATCAGCCTGCCTCAGCCTCAGCCTCAGCCTGCTTCAGCCTCAGCCTCAGCCTGCTTCAGCCTCGGCCTCAGTCTGCCTCCCTCGGCCTCAGCCTCACCCTGCCTGCAGCCTCAGCCTGCATCAGCCTCGCCTCAGCCTCAGCCTGCCTAAGCATCAGCTGCCTCAGCCTCAGCCTAGCCTCAGCCTGCCTCAGCCTCAGCCTCAGTCTGCCAGCCTCGCTGGCCTCAGCCTGCCTCAGCCTGCCTCAGCCTCAGCCTCAGCCTGCCTCAGCCTCAGCCTCAGCCTCAGCCTCAGCCTCAGCCTCAGCCTCAGCCTGCAGCCTCAGCCTCAGCCTCAGCCTCAGCCTCAGCCTGCAGCCTCAGCCTGCATCAGCCTCAGCCTCACCTCAGCCTGCCTCAGCATCAGCCTCCTCAGCAGCCTCAGCCTCAGCCTCAGCCTCAGCCTCAAGCCTCAGCCTCAGCCTGCCTCAGCATGAGCCTCTGCCTCAGCCTGCCTCAGCCTCAGCCTCAGCCTCAGCCTCAGCCTCAGTTCAGCCTCAGCCTCAGCCTCAGCCTCAGCCTCAGCCTCGGCCTCAGCCTGCAGCCTCAGGCCTCAGCCTCAGCCTCAGCCTCAGCCTCAGCCTCAGCCTCAGCCTCAGCCTCAGCCTGCATCAGCATCAGCCTGCCTCGGCCTCAGCCTCAGCCTCAGCCTCAGCCTCAGCCTGCCTCAGCCTCAGCCTCAGCCTCTCAGCCTTCAGCCTCGGCCTCAGCCTCAGCCTGCCTCAGCCTCAGCATCAGCCTCAGCCTCAGCATCAGCCTCAGCCTGCCTCAGCATGAGCCTGCCTCAGCCTCAGCCTCAGCCTGCCTCAGCCTCAGCCTCAGCCTGCTTCAGCCTTAGCCTCAGTCTGCCTTCAGCCTCGGCCTCAGCATCAGCCTGCCTCAGCCTCAGCCTGCCTCAGCCTCAGCCTCAGCATTCAAAATGTGGCCCGGCAATGGAATTCTGGGAACTCGAAGAACACGAAGTGGCCTACAGTTGGCTCCGGGCATTCAAAATCATGCCCAGGAGCAGAGTTCTGGGAACTCGAAGAACACGAAGTGGCCTACAGTTGGCTCCGGGCATTCAAAATCATGCCCAGGAGCAGAGTTTTGGGAACTCGAAGACCACGAAGTGGCCTACAGTTGGCTCCGGGCATTCAAAATGTGGCCCGGGAATGGAGTTATGGGAACTCGAAGACCACGAAGTGGCCTACAGCTGGCTCCGAGCATTCAGAATGTGACCCGGGAGTGGATTTTGGGACCTCGAAGACCACGAAGTGTGTAACGATTGGCCAAAAAAATCCCCAGCACCCTCCCCCGGATCGCGCCCAGGAGGCATCCAAAAAGCCTTTGGCCCGCGGAAGCGATCCGACCTCTCCAAATGACGCCGCGCTCCCCAGATAAGGGCGTTTCCCAGGGCATATCCTGGATTCGTTGGTGGGGGTACGCGACGCCTTGAAAATAACCAGACACGGGCTCGGGCGTTCCAAGGGGACCTAAGATGTGCGAAGCTGATTTTGGGATGGCCCTTGGAAGCCTCAGGATGACGATAAGAAACCACGAAAAGCTCCGAGATGTTTCCGCGAAAACCCCCCGAAAAAAACAAACACACACACACACACACACACACACACACACGCACGCACGCACGCACGCACGCACGCACACCCACACACACACACACACACACACACACACACACACACACACGCGCGCGCGCGCGCGCACACACACACACACGCACACACACACACACACACACACCACACACACACACACACGCGCGCACACACACACACACGCGCAAACACACACACACACACAGGCACTGGCATGGCATAAGCACAGGCAGCGGATCCAGCGCAGCGAGCGATAGGGCGGGGCACGCCGAGGTTCATTCATTAACGCCGAGCGTCCGCCCGCGGGCGGTCCAGAGGTAAGAAAAAAACAGCTGGCGCGCGCGAGGGGAGAGGAGGTCGGATAGGGGGCCACATGCGAACCCTCCCCCTACCCCCACGACTTCTGAGGGGGAGGGTGGGGGTCACTTCGCTCGGGAGCTCCCGAGCGAAGCGAACCCCACCCTCCCCCTCAGAAGTCGTGGGGGGTAGGGGTAGGGTTCGCACGTGGCCCCCGTATCGGAGCCGACGCACGCGGCAGATGCCGAGGGCCCGCAGAGCAGCGCGAAAACACCCGAGAAGCGAGCGACGCCGCAGCGCGGCAGAAGCAGTCCGCACGCGCGCGCCCGCGGTCCGGGCCACGGAGAGTGTCCAAACGAACCGGCGGCGGGAGGACGGGAAGACAGGCGAACGCGGCAGCGAAGCGGGAGGGAAGGGAGGGATGACACCCACATGGCGAGGCGCGTCGCCAGGGAGCGGCCGGGGCGGCCAGCCAGTGCTGCACCTCCTGGCAGCGGGCGCGGGGCGGCGTCGCGGCAACACCCAGGGGCGGAAGCAGGGGCCACAGTGCGCGAAGTGGAAGGAGCACAACACCGGAGAGATACGAATGGTAACGTCAGCGACGTCCCGGTCCAACGGGGGGTCAAGAGGCTGGCTGGACCCCGGGCGGCAACATGCAGCGGGGGTTGCCGAAGGCCGGCAGGATGGGGCCGGGCAAAACTGCCTGCTGATGCTGGCGTTGGCACTGCTGGCGGGGGACTGATCCCACTGGCAGCTGGCCAGTGAGGAAGCGGTGCAGCAGGAGGCGGGGGCGCAGTAGCGCGCCCACCCAGCAGTGCCATAACCAGGGCGAAAACACACACACACACACACACGACGATGGGTTTCGCATGCATTGAGCAGGCATGTCTTATTTTGCCGTAGATGGCTCCAAAATGGGCCCCGTCGCCTCAATGGGGTCCGAGAGACCCCCCAGAAACCCACAGACAGCACAAAGGACACCCGAGATGGCCAGAGAGGCCCTCAGCTGGCCCAAGACCGCCCCAAGATGGCCACAAGACCCTCCATAACTCCCTCCAGATCCCCAAGGGCCGCCAAGATGGCCCCCGAGAGGGCCCCATGAGAGCCGAAGAGCACCGAGAGAGTCACAAAACAGCCCCCAGGCAGCCCCGAGACAGTCCAGAGAGTGACGTCAGATTGGCTAATGTTCAGCCACATGCGTGCCGAGTCTATACCCAAACACTCACAGGTATGGAGGTTTGCGCGCTCGTCTCCATATGGAGCTAATTTTCCTATGCGCGGTGGCGGATATGTTCAGCAGCGCGGCCTGGACGGTTAGAGGGAAAGAGAAAGGGAAAGGTGAGAGAAAGAAGAGAGAGTAGAGAGCAGAACAACCACCCCCCATAACAAGCACGCCGACGAGCGAAGCCGTTTAGTAAACGAACCCAAGGAAGGAAACGAGCAGGACAGGGCTGCTTAGCAAACGCCCAGGGCCGCTTAGCAAACGCCAAGTGTGGGGTTCGGGGTGGTTCTCTCCTCCATTGAGAGAGGGTGATAGGGAGAGAGAGAGAGAGGGAGAAAGAGAGAGAGAGAGAGATAAAAAAAGAGAGTGAGAGAGAGAAACAAAACAAAAACGATATATATATAGAAAGAGAGAGAGAGAGGGAGACATCAGCAGCAGCAGCAGCAGCAGCAGCAGTAGGAGCCTGCGCGCGCCCACTCTGCCGGCCAAGCGCGCCAACGCCTGCCGACTCAGGGCGGTGACCGACTCCAGCCGCCCTCTGGGCGGAGAGGCCGAGGGGGCGAGCACCTCTCCTCCACTCCTGCACCGCACTCTCCCTTTCGCCCACCCTTTCTAATTCAATCGCCCACTCTCTCTCCTCCTCCTCCCCCTCCGCCTCCACCTCCTCCTCCTTCTACATCTCCTCCTCCTCCTCCTCCTCCTCCCCCTCCTCCTCCATCTCCTCCTCCTCCTCCTCCTCCTCCTCCTCCTCCTCCTCCTCCTCCTCCTCCCCTCGTGCTTCGGCAGCGTGCCGAGCGGGGAGGAAAAGCGCCGGAAACGAGGAGCGCAGCGCGGGCACGATGGCCACGCACGCACGGGCAAACCAGGCGTGGAAAGTGGGGAGTGTATCGTTAGTCGGCGGCGGGTTAACTACGCGGGTTAACTTCGCACCCCCCTCTTTCGGCGACTCCAAAGGGTGTGCACGCACGGGCAAACCAGGCGTGGAAAGTGGGGAATGTATCGTTAGTCGGCGGCGGGTTAACTACGCGGGTTAACTTCGCACCCCCCTCTTTCGGCGACTCCAAAGGGTGTGGTTTGGTAAGGGTGCGGTTTGCAACCGGCACCCTGGGGAACATCCTGGGGGGCACCCTGGGGGGCGCGCGGGGACCTCGATAGACTTCCCCCGCGCCCCGAGGAGGCCCGACGAGGACAGCGTCGTGCCCCCCGGGCCCCACCAGTGCCGATCGTAAACCAAACCCTTAAGTCGGGCCTGTCCCCCAACCGGGGGTTTTTCGACGAAAAATAAAAAAAAAGTCCAAAAATAGTCCAGAAAATAGTCTGGGGACTATTTGTTGGGGTATTGTTTTAACCCTTTGGGAGCATTTTTTGAATATTTATTATTTTTCGTCGGAAAATCCCCCTGTAGGGA